CCCCCCCCCCCCCCCCCGGTATTAATAGATACTCTGAGTTAATTAATAAGTAAAAAGTGATTTTATTAAATACCGAAAGTAGGATTTAAGTGGTTCCAAGTAGTAACAGACAGAACAAAGTGAATTACCAAGTAAAATAAAATAGAACATGCAAATCTATGTCTAAGAAACTGAATACAAATAAAACCTCACCAGTTCCAGTAAGCTTCCTTTTACAGACTAGTCTCCTGCTAGTCTAGGTCCAGCAATCACTCACACCCCCTGTAGTTACTGTCCTTTGTTCCAGTTTCTTTCAGGTATCCTTGGGGGTGGAGAGGCTATCTCTTTAGCCAGCTGAAGACAAAATGGAGGGGTCTCCTAGGGGTTTAAATAGACTTTCTCTTGGGGGTGGATACCCCCTTCCTCACTCCTATGCAAAGTCCAGCTCCAAGATGGAGTTATGGAGTCACATGGGCAAGCCACATTCCTGGGAAGGTTCAGATGTGGATTGGCGTCTTCGAATTCATTGTTGGCTTAAGTGGTTTTTGATTGGGCACTTAATTTGCACTTTTCCCAAGAAGCTGACCAAGTGCTCTACTAGGCTAGTTAAAATCAAGCAAGTATACAGCCAATATTCCTAACTTCAAGTACAAAAATGATACATACATACAAATAGGATTAATAGATTCAGTAGATCATAACCTTTACAGAGATATGTTACATGGTATATGTAGCACAAAACATATTCTAGTTATGTCATATATACATTCATAAGCATATTCCATAAAGCCTTATGGGGGGAACTGTCACAGTGACCTCAACAAATAATGTATTCCATCCCCTTGCACTGAGCCATGAACCCTTGACAAGTGTCTGTCTAATCTGATGGTGATTCCATAACCTCCTTTGGAAGCTTATTCCAAAACTTAACTGTCAGTACACCTCTACCCCGATATAACGCTGTCCTCAGGAGCCAAAAAAATCTTACCGTGTTATAGGTGAAACCGCATTATATCGAACTTGCTTTGATCCGCCGGAGTGCGCAGCCCTGCCCTCTCCCCCCCCCCCCCGAGCGCTGCTTTACCGCGTTATATCCGAATTCATGTTATATCAGGCCGCATTATTTCGGGGTAGAGGTGTATATTTGGAAAGATTTCCTTAATACCTTACCTAAATCTCCTGTGCTACAGATTAAGCCAATTAATTCTTGTCCGATCTTCTGTGGACATAGAAAACAATCGATCACCACCCTTCTTATAACAGCCCTTAAGATATATGAAGATTGTTATCAGGTCTCCTCCTCAGTCATCTTTTTTCAAGACTAAATGTGCCCATTTTTCTAACCTCTCCTCATGGTCAGGTTTTCTAAACCATTTATCATTTTTGTTGCTCTCCTCTAGATTCTCTCCAATTTATCCATATTTGTCTTAAAGTGTGGTGCCTGGACCTCGACACAGTACTCCAACTGAGGCCTCACCAGCACCAAGCAGAGTGGGACAATCACCTCCCATGTCTTACATATGACACTGCTGTTAATACATCCCAGAATGACATTAGCCTTTTTCATAACTGCATCACACTGTTGGCTCATATTCAATTTGTGATCCATTATAACCCCAAGATCCTTTTCATCAGTGCTACTGCCTAGCCAGTTATTCCCCATTTTGTAGTTGTGTTTTTGATTTTTTCTTCCTAGGTGCAGTACTTTGCACTTCTCTTTCTTGAATTTTATTTTGGAGGTTTCAGACCAATTCTCCAATTTGTCAAGTCATTTTGGGGAATTCTAATCCAGTTCTCCAAAGGGCTTGCAACCTCTTCCGGCATGGTGTCACCTGTAATTTTTATAAGTGTACTCTCTACTCCATTATCCAAGTCACTAATCAAAATATTTAACTGCTCTGGACCCAAGACGGACTCCTGTGGGATCCCACTAGATTCTCTCAGTTTGACAGCAAATCATTGATAACTACTCTGAGTATGGTTTTTCAACCAGTTATGCACCCATCTTATAATAATTTCATCTAGATCAAATTTCCCTAGTTTGCTTATGAGAATATCATGTGGGACTGTGTCAAAATCCTTATTAAAAAGGACATACATCTACTGCTTTCCCCCAGCCACTAGGCCAGTAACCTCGTCAAAGAAGAAAATTAGGCTGGTTGGCAGGATTTGTTCTTGACAAATCCATGTTGGCTATTACCTATTACCCTATTATCCTCTAGGTACTTATAAATTAATTGTTTAATGATTTGTTCCAGTATCTTTCCAGGTATTGAAGGTAGGCTGACTGGTCTATCATTCCCCGGGTCCTCTTTGTTGCCCTTTTTAAAGATAAGTACTATGTTTGCCCTTCTCCAGTTCTCTGGGACCCCGCCTATCCTCTGAGAGTTCTCGAAGATAATCACTAACAGTTCCAAGATTGCTTTGGGTAGTTCCTTAAGTACCCTTAAGTGAATTCTGAAGCGAAGTAGGCATTGAACACCTCAGCCTTCTTAATATCATCCATTATTAGCTCTCCTTTCCCTCTAAGTAGGGGGCCAACACTTCCCTTTGTCTTTCTCTTGCTCTTTATGTATTTATAGAACCTCTTCTTATGGTGGCAGGCGGGATCGAACTGGGGACCTCTGGAGCCAAAAGGCTGCTAGCTAAGGCTGTAGAGCAGAATCATTTAACTCTCTCTCTAAGTGGTCTGAGTGCCACTAGATGGGACAGAACACCACACCCAAAAGGTGTGTGGGTTACATTATGTCCTTTGTTTTGTATCTTAGATTTTCTCATTTTGTCCCTTCATGCTTGTATTATTCTTTTGTACTCAACTGTAGCCATTTGTTCATGTTTCGACTTTTTGTAGGATTGCTTTTTTACTTTCAGGTTATTAAAGAGCTTCTAATGAGTCATATTAGCCTCTTAGTATTCTTTCTATCTTTCCTTCACATCAGATTAGTTTGTTGTTGTGCCTTTAATATTATCTCTTTGAGAATCTGCCAACTCTCCTGAACTCCTTTTTACCATAGATTTTCTTAATGATCACAACATAATCCAGAGTGTTTGTATTGTGTAATACTGTTATAATTAGGTGACTGATAACACTTACTGTCAGCTTCAAGCCTAACAAACCATACATTAAGGCCATAGCATAATTACACTTTAACATAAGTCCAATTATGTCCTATTACTTACTCAAAAATTGCATTTGGTTAGCCAGTACTGACTTATATGGCTAGAAGGCCATGTCTTACTGTTAACTTTGACTAACTGTAGTGCCATATAGCTGAATACCTTTGAGGGTTGTTACTGGGAAAGATCATTTTTTAGCCCAATCTTGCTCTCACTGAAGTCAATGATAAAATAATCACTGACTACAATAGGAGCAGGTACGAGGGTCCATGATAACTCCTATAAATAATAATAATAAATAATAATAAATTAGTGGAGATATCCTATCTCCTAGAACTGGAAGGGACCTTGAAACGTCATCGAGTCCAGCCCCCTGCCTTCACTAGCAGGACCAAATACTGATTTTGCCCCATATCCCTAAGTGGCCCCCTCAAGGATTGAACTCACAACCCTGGGTTTAAGCAGGCCAATGCTCAAACCACTGAACTATCCCTCCCACCCTGTCAGTCCTATGCCTTCCTTATTCTTGATATCAAGTTTCCAGAATTTTTTGCCCCTTGAAGGGACACAATTCCCAGTAGGAGGGGGGAGAACAAGTATAAAGTGGAAATCAATAAGGGGGAGGAAATGATGAAAGGTGGTTGGGATGATAGAGGCAGAAGAAACTGCTCCTCAACACGACAGCTATATTTTCAAGCATGCTAACTGTGCTGTTCATTTCTGATGCTAACTTTACTGTTCACTCAGTCAGTAATGTTAAGACAGAGACACTGACATTGTAAATTTGGAAAAGCCAAGAGTGCTCTTTGCCTGTTATCTACCTGTTTTGTGGAGGCTTACGTCTCCAGAACTGTCAGTCAGCACCTTTCATGAGCACTAAATTAATTTACATGATAACAAAAGAAAACATAAGGTTCAGAGCAGTTTGTGTAATACAAGGTTGATAGAGAAATAAGGCTTTTTTGTTTCATTTTAAATTTGAAAATGTGGATCTGTTTCATCTATAAAAACTGTAAGCAAATGACATTTTAGTTTGAAATGAATTGTAAAGTTAATAGTACAATGTACTTACTTAGACTACTCAGTTGTCTAATTATATTTGCCAAGGAGATATTGGTGACACATTCCAGTTCATTCTTGATGCCTCTGGGCAGTGCCGTGTGACACAGGTGCCTGGGGTCTATGTTTCTTTTCACTAATGGCATTTTGAGATATCAGAGGGCTAGCACACCTGTGAAGAAATTAAACAGAAGCATTATTATAGCTTTCCTTAACTATTTTGGTACAGATCATTACATCCAATCAAGTCATTAATACTGGCAAGATTAAAATACCTTCACATTTAGGTGAAGAAGGGATTTCTTTGGCTTGAAAGGTTAGTTACATGAACCTGTATGTTTGAGTCTGATTTTTAACCCTGTGAACTTTTATCTGACTACTGTGTCAATGATACTATGAACATTTTGTTACTATTCATATTTTTCTGAAAAAGATGGAAAACCCTCTTTTGTACTGTAATTGTATCTTTCTCGACACACTAGTTCCTTATTCAGGCAAAATCCAATGGGCAAATCCTCTTGATTTATGGGAGGAAGTCATACTCCCTTTTTCAAATCAGAGTGGTAGCCGTCTTAGTCTGTATCAGCAAAAACAATGAGGAGTCCTTGTGGCACCTTAGAGACTAATGAATTTATTTGGGCATAAGCTTTCGTGGGCTAAAACCCACTTCCTCAGATGCATGGAGTGAAAAATACAGTAAGCAGTATAAATATTACAGCACATGAAAAGATGGGAGTTGCCTTTCCAAGTGGGGAGTCAGTGAATTAGCAGTGAGACAGTTAGCTCGGCTTAAAATGTATCTGGTAAAAGCAGAGATTTCTCACTCCATTTGTGGTAGAGCATCCTCAGGCTGTTCCAACCGATGGAGGCATAAAATAATAAATTAACTGCCTTTTGCAGCAGAGGAGACTTTTTCCATGGTCAGTTTACAGGTGGGTCTATAGCACTTTCTCTGGCAGAGTGGAAGTTTTTGGCTTATAGATGAAAGCTAGATGGTGTACTGGCGGTAGAGGGTAGGAGGACTGCATTAAAGCTTATACTGGAATCTTAAGTGAGTATTTCTAGATTTTCCGATATTTAAGTGTTTTGAACTCTAATTACACACTTCTAAATTGCTGACTCTGTTGGGAAATTTGGAGTTGAGTTAAAAAAATTAAGCATTGTATTTTAAACCCTAAATCAGAACTTTGTAATTTTTACATGCGTTTTGCATTATGTCTACAACAGTCTCATAATGCTGTTTTAAATTAAAACTATTTACAACTCTAATTCCATTTTTGTTTGGGAATTTCTTGAGGGTCTTTCCCCCCCCTCTTCTTTAATGAATGAAAACTTGATGTAGAAGGAGTCACTACAATTTGGAGAAAAAGAGCAGGTGGACCTGGGACATCTCTGAAGCTTATAAGAAGGAGATTTGGCCATCACCTAGTTTGCTCCCTCTTCCTATAGTACTTGTCAATCTGCAGGAATCCTGCCCGAGTGTTCTTGCTAGTTCCCTGAAGTTTGTAAATAATTCAGGAGTCCCTATAAATCTCACAAACACTCCAGGAGCACCTGCAGGCTGGGACTGAAACATTTGTAGGGAAGGAGTTTCCAAACCAGCAAGTTATGCCTACAGCATGTGTTATTTTTACAGAATTACTCATGAAGATAAATTTGTGGAGAATTTGCTAGTTTCCAGAAGTTTATTTTTTTCTATAGCAAATATCATTTCTATTAACCCAGCATAACTCAATAAAACCGATGCAAGAGTCCTGATTGAGATCTAGCAAATACAACACATTTGAAATTAACTATGGATTCACTCTTATGGTTCCATAATAGAAAATAAATGTGTCAGTCTGTTGTACATATAAACGAAACATCCAATGTATGAGTAATGTTCTTCAGAACCAATTAAATATTAATTACCTTCCTGATTACTTCATTAATGATGCTATTGTGTGCACAAATGGAAGCAGATTCAACTGTTCTATTAAAAACACAGGGGGGAAAAATCAGTGACTATTATTAAATATAGACGCTCCCCGACTTACACAAACGTTCTGTTCCAGAACGCCTTGCATAACTCGAATTTTGCATAAGTTGGAAAAGTATACCCAACCATTACGCAAAAAACAACAACAACAACAACAAAAATAAAATAAAATAAAATAAAATAAAAAACCTTGCATTTCTAGCTTACGGAACTTTTTCCATAAGTGCAGGTTTGCGTCAGTTGGGTTTGCGTAACCCGGGTTTGTGTAACCCGGGGGACGTCTGTAGAGGTAAAATTCAGTATGGAAAGAAACTTCATTTTCAAACTTCCAAAAGCATAACTAGTAAAAATTTATATATAAAAGAAAGTTGACAGCTCTCACTGTTCATGGATATAAAGGAGGCAAAAAAATCTGTAAATCTGTTAATCAATTGACATCAAGTGGATATTTTCTCTGTCTTCTTTATTTATTTATTAATATTTAATTGTCCAATCAAGGTATGACTGAATGTTATATAGTTTTATTTTTCCCACTGATTTTACACCAGTGATGAAACAATGTGATTAAATTTAAATAAATATATATATATATAGATCAAACTTCGGCCCTCAGATGGTGGGTTGATGAGTTTCTTATAAATGTGTGTAACAACAAGAATAATAAAATGCAATTAAAGTCTATGTTATGTAATCTTTAGCAGTTAGCTAAAAATTTTAAATAATAACGGCACCTGTCAGTATATTTAGTGGAATTGAATTGTCTAAAGGGTTTACATGATAAAACTCATTTTACAAAGGAGGACTGATATTTGCATAAACTTGTCAGACATTGGCTCTGTCCAAGAGAAATTAAAAAAAAAATACACAAAATAATTTAATTTAAAAATAAAATAAAATTGGGGATTGATTTTTAAACAAATAAATAAATTTGGAGTTCCTTTACTTTACCTTCTGTTTTTTGAGAACTTGGGATGAACTCATTTCATACTTTCAAGCTTTTCTCTACAACCATGAGGGCTGGTTTTTTATTTTTAAACGACAGCTGAGATCCTCACACAATCACATGAACCTATAAAGCTTTAAGGAAAATATCAAAGATCTTGAGACTCGTGCTGAAAATCACAAGAGTTGGCAATGCTGTATGGTTAACCAAAACTGTGTAGTCTACACACCAAGCCTTAGTGGAGGGTGTCTTTTTGGGGTCAAATTTTACCTTGCAGGTGTTGTTCCCAGACACCAAAGAAAGATAAGACAAGCCACCAGGAATGAAGTTTAACAAGGCCACAACTTTATTAAATAACATATCTGGGAACTAGCCAGCAATAACTCACCCAGTGCAGGTCATCCCTCATTTCTAATCCATACCATCTGGTGGAGGGTTGCTATCTGCCTGCCACTCCTTTGTTCACAGGGTGGGAAGCTGCCATCACAGCCTCCCCCCCCCCCCATTAACCTGGCCCCAGCACTGTTTCTGGTCCCCCATTTCCCTCCCCTAATACAAGGGCTAAGGGGTGGACAGGAGGGTTTTGTCTCTGCTGTAGCAGTCATTAGGAGTCCTGAACCTATTCCCCTTTCAGAGATGCCTTCTCCCAATCTGCACCCAGTTCCACTTTATGAGGGAATCAGACCCCCTACTGAATGATTAGCTGCACTGGGCACCTGCCAAATTGCAACAAAAAGAAATTTTACAGCCGAATCTGCCCACCTGCTGAGGCAACTGAGAGAAAGGCAAGAAAACCTGCCCTGCCCAGAACAATCTGGCAGAGAAGGAAAAATTCCTTTGCAGCCGCAAAAAGATGTCTAGACATAATGCCTACAACAAGGCCTCAAAACCCAGTCCTTCTCTGATCCCCAAAGGTGTTTTACTTCCTGGCAGGCGGAAGACTTTATAAGCCCCTCCCCTTGGGTATGCAGAAGTCAACAGGTTCCCCTCCCTTCATCAAGCCCATGAGGAGGTAGAAGGCCCATGAGGAAGGGAAGGGTGTGTGTACAATCCTTAAAGGGGCAAAGAGTTTTCTTTTCTATGTCAGCTCACACAAAGCCTCTCACCTCTGAGGCTGTGGGTGAAGCAGGGGGTGGTACAGGTCTACACTGAGGATTATGTGGAACTGACCTAATCCCATGTTCTTTATAGAGACCTTGTGGACAGGTCTCTCACCAATGCCAGTATGCAAAGGGAGTGGGACCAGGTTCTGCCTCCTCCCCACCCCATTTGTAGTAGTGTTTACCCTCAAAGGGAGCAATCCCTGAGCTTCCTCAAATACAGAGACTGGGATTGTGACTGACCCTTATATGGGATGCCTGGAGAAAGGAAGCTCCTTGAAAACTCCTCTGCCACCTTCATACTGCATAAAGGCTAGTCACAATGTGATCCTTTATGTATTGAGTTAATAGTCTTTAAGTGCTATGCTTTCATTACAATAGCCATTAAATTCTGACAGATGTCACCAATTTTTTTTAAAGCAGTGAAAATGCTTTGGATCTGATTTTTCCTTGTTTAATTCCTACCACAATGTATAATGGCACTGGTGAAAAAAGAGAACACATTTTTAAAACCAATTTAATGACATTTGAATGAACTACACCTCTACCCCAATATAATGCGACCCGATATAACACGAATTCGAATATAACGGGGTAAAGCAGTGCTCCAGGGGGGTGGGGCTGCGCACTCCGGTGGATCAAAGCAAGTTCAATATAACACGGTTTCACCTATAACACGGTAAGATTTTTTGGCTCCCGAGGACAGCGTTATATCGGGGTAGAGGTGTACCTTTGAAAAGTGAGATATAGTTACTTAATCCACTATGTTACATGCAGGCACAGATGCATCCTCTGTCCTCTAAAAGCCTTCAGCAGCTAACTTTTCTTCCTCATTCTTACCTTTTTCAAATGCCTCTGGCAGCTGCAGAGGAACCTGTCTGTGGCACTTCTGCCCTGTACATGCACTACATCTCCAGTAGGAGCAATACTGTTAAAATGACAAGGATTATGTCAGTTTCATTCTGCTCCTAATGCTGAAGGAACACTTTGGGGAGCACCCCAACTCATTGCTTTATAAAGCTCTTTTGGATAGTCTGAGAGTTGCCAACATATGAAACCCAAAGTCTCTTCTATGAAAATAGGGTGTGTATGGAATGTTTAGGAATCTCCCCCTCCCACAACACCCACTGTTTAGCAAAAGAAATACAACT